TCTATCAGAGGCAGCAGCACGGGGAGGGGGGAGGGAGTGAAAGGACCAGGTGGATCCTGTGTGTGGGGAGTTGGCTTAAAAGCCAGCTCCTCACTGGCACCAGCTCCGGCCTGCCCCCCACCTTGCTGCCTTTCATACAGAAGAAACGGGGCGGGACGGCAGGGGCATGTGTGTAGTCGACAGGATTAACCAATAAATCTAGGCTTATCGGTTAATCATGTAGTCATCTATATGTTGACACCCCTAGAACCCACTGCAAGTGACACCAAGTCTGACAGTAGTTAATGGAAGAAAAGTCCTAACTCCATTTCAGAGCAGAACACGTGCAACTGAGAATCGTAATGATGACCACATTATCTCCTTCAAAGTAAATGCAACAGTTAATATTTCATTGGTGATTGCTATAGTTTGGAGGCCAATTTTTCTGAGGATCTTCAGAGACAAAACATCTGTGAGAAAGCACAGCTACCTTTTGGAGCAGTAGCTGAATGGGCTGGATGGCTGGAAAACTTATCTACATAGACAAGCAATAGGATACAATAATTTCACATAAAAAATAGGCAGCTTGTTGAGTAAACACTGGTCTCTCTTATAAGAATCTATTCGGGGTAACTGTCCTTCACGTCTCAAGACACTGCATGATGAATATACAAGAACAGAGCAGTGGGGAAAGCAGAGAAGTCTAAGTGGGGAATCAAAGTCTAAGTGTCCAAAGTCTAAGCTGATAACTAATTTTTGATTTGCTAGCCTTGACCATGTCCACTGATTTTTTTAAAAAAGAGCAGCCAGAACTTGAATCCCATCACATTATCCTGATCTACGTATCGCTCACAAAACACCTCACAGAAGTGTATAACGTTGCCAAATCATTTTTTGGAGTTATCTGGCCAAGCTTCATATTCCTTAGTGGCTTCACATCGCTTTTGAAGAACTTCGCTATGAAGCTGACACTTGCATTTTCTTCACTCCAAATGTCAACTGATTTAAGAACGATACTCATATCTGCCTGACAGACTGAATCTATACTTTTATGTTATGATTTGAAAGATAACAGATTTACAGTCAGCCCAGGTTTGTCAAGTTTACAATGCTGTATTACATTGAATGTACCTTAAATGCCATCTGAATAGTCTCTTCTGTGTTGGCAGGGTTACAAAGAACAGACAAACCAATCACATATTCTCGGAAGTCTATGGTGCCATCTCCATTCTGTAACCACAAAGACAGATGGCAAGTTAGAGTTAATAGCTTGGATCACTTCAAAGGCTCAACATATGACAAATATAATTCAGCGATGCAATCTGTACTAATGCTTAATTTATTATTTTCTTTTTTTTTCTGGAAAAAAGTCTGTACATTTGTACCATATAAAAATTATTGGAGAAATCATTTCTACAGATTAACAATTAACTTCTCAATGGTGTTTTCTAAGCACTGTTCACAAAAGGATTACAATTACCAGTGTAAGAAGAGAGTTTTGGCTTTTGATCACCCCAAAAGTACTTTTAGTGATAAGAAATAGAACACATTGAGATATGATACAGCATATGCATAGCCAAGAAGACTACATAGGTATTCTGTGGAGCAAGTACTACGTTCACAGTGCTGTTAAAATATGAGACACTTAATGAGTCAAACTACAAGATACTGTTGTTTAATCATAATGGCCTGTATTGGAACTAGGAAAAAAAGATTGTGTTAAGTAGAAAGATATTATAATACATTCATTTAATCCTAAACTGCAGGTCCCTTGATGGGCTGGGTGATCAGGCCTGGGTGAGGTGAAATCGTTTGCAAGTTTATTTGCAGTAAGAGAAAGCACTGAAATACATGTGCATATTTGAGTTGATTGTAATTACATGACCATTTTAAAAAATTTTGTGGGCTTGGAAGATATTCTGTCATGATAGGAAAAGGGGAGTGGCTCCTGTCTGTGGCAGGCCCTGCGGGGAGCTGCTCCAAACCCCACCGGTTAATCGGAGCAGATAATCATAACCTGTTAAGAGTGATGCTTCCTGGTTATCCTTTACATCCCTGTAAGAAACAGCAGAATTTGAGAGTTGGGTGACCAGACACAGACCAAGCACTCAAAGCATTGATTAAAGTGACTCCCATGAGACATTCATAAAAAATTTTTGAACAGCAAACACATTTGTAAAAAACTAAATTCTAATGGTACAGAATTTATGAATAAAAACGGGCCATTTCTGAATAAAAATATTCTTCCAGGAGGCAAAGCAATAATGTAATAAACTTCCAAAGTTGATCACTGTCAAACTATTTGCAGACAAATGAAGAAAGAATGATCTTGTGGGTAAACACAAATAGCAGTCAGGAGATCTGAATGACGTATAGGATCTGCTACCCACTTGTGCTGTCCTCTTGAACATAACACATTTAGCCTCTCTCAATTCCCGGATCAGACTTATAATGGAATAATAAGTTACCCCAATGGTACAGTGCCAACCCCAAATTGTAGAGTGCCATGAGAACTGCATACTGCAGATTTCCATTACTGAATCAGTGCTTCTGTACTTTGGACAGTCCTGGATTCAGATAGGTGGTAAGAAAGTATGTAATACTCTTTAACAAATAGAAATAACCAATACATTTAGCAAGATTTAAAACAACTGCTACCTAGATCCAAGTTTACTCAGCTTCTGAAGCTAATACCATGCCAGTTTACAGAAACCCATGTTTTGTTTTCTCTTGATGGGGGAATTAATCTTTGTCAAAGCACTTGGAATGTTGAACATATCACCTACTGGTTAGAGACCTGGAGGTTACAAAACAAGTTCCCTTATAAAATTATTCTGTTAGACTGGCAGCACAATATATTTGATGTTTATTGGCAGTTTTGTGGTCAATCTCTGCACTTCAGCCTCTGTAATTAATAGTCATCTGCTACCTTAGTATACCCCAAACCTGCTTTTTTGTTCAATGGTTTCTGATGCCAGACATTTTAACATTATGGAACTTGTGACATCCAAAGCACTAGATATTAAATGTATCATTGCATTTTATTGTGTAGATTTATATTTTGAATGCTAGCATTGTTAATTTCTCATCAAACGTGCAGGAAATCTTGTATTATACATAATTAGTTAAAGTTATTTAAATAATAGTTCATACAATACAAACAGGTTATCAGATTTCACTGACAAGTTGCCTCATTTTCTGATTCCACTAGAATTGTTTTTCCAGAATTTACAATTCCATCATACACATGGTCTGGCCTATCACATTAACTCATTGCTATTGTACAGTGAAATGTCCGTCACTGTTCTAATCATAGCATTTACCAGGCTTCCATGGGCTAGCCACCTGCTAAATGCCAGCTGAGTTCAGGGTGGCTATGACACTGGACTGTGTTTTATACGGGTCTGGAAAGCATGAATGAAGCAGTGGCTGACCAATGTGACGTTGGGAAACCTGCTCTGTGTTGTATACCACTCCCCAGATATTACTATTATTATTAATTGTGTATATGACATAGAAAAAATATAGCTCATTTAAATATCTGTATGTTGTTAAACAAAAATAAAGTGTTAGATATAACTTAAGTTTACTAAGTGTTCTCATTTTAAACCAGACTTCAGCATTGCATTGCCATTTTCAGTATGGGTCACTATGTATTTAAGAAGTATTTTGTGTTTTTGAGTCAGAGGCATGAGCTCAGTTAACATGTATGTTGGTCTCAGTAGCAGTAAAGCTTGTATTCTGCCTTCCAAGTAAAAGGTCTGTTAGGTTCCCCATAGGGAGAAAGATAGGGCACTGGCACCCAAATTACCCTTTTTTCCCCAATTAGCAAAACCTCTTCCAAGGCCAAGTGGGAAAAGGGATATGGTGCCACTGCCCAAGGGGCCCAACTTGCACTGTGCTTATAAAAAGTGTTATAATGGAGCTAGTTTTCATGTTTCTAGTTTGATTTAGAAACCATATTTTCTAGAACTGTTCGTGCATGTCAAAGAAAACAGTCACTTACAGGTCTGCAACAGAGAGAGAGAGAGAGGAATTCCTATTGGACACAGCACACATAAGCCTTTACATGTCTCATTTTCATAACTGGGAATATGATGTAGAAGGTTGTTATTTTAATCCTTCCCTGGCAAACAACTATCTGTACCCCAGGTGAGCTCTCACTAGCCTGACAGACAAAGATTCTAAAGCAAACATTAATATAGCAACATTTGCAAAAAAAAGTCATTCTCTGCCTTTCACTCACTCTTCTGTTGGGATTACTACCCATTTAATGCTTACAGAGATAAAAATGGGCCTTCTGTGATTTAATAATGTGTAGATGAGTGGTTCATGTTGTTCAGAAGTTAGCCTATTTTGTCATAATTTGATTATTCTTTTCTTTTTATTAAGCTCCGTTATTCAGTCTGATATCGTGCACTGTTAAGTTATTTAAATGATAGTTCATACAATACAAACAGGTGATCAGATTTCACTGACAAGTTGCCTCATTCTGTTAATAATCAAATGCAATCCCCCTATTGTTTAGCTAGTTAGTTACTGATAACACGTTCTTACAAGGGTGGTCTGGGAAGGGCGTAGGCGGCTGGATATTTGTGACTAGACATACACACGCACACTCACTCACTTTTATATCGACTAGACAGATGTAAAATACATTTTGATTTAAAGCAGCCAAGGACAACTGAACTGCAGGCATATACTTGCTGCTTCTTGCCTTTTACCTCCACTGCAAGCATCTCTGCCCTGACATGAATGGAGCTACTGTTGTTGGAAATTGTGGGTCAAATTTATCCCTGAGGAAACTCCACTTCAATGGAGATAAGCCACAGCTGAATTTGTCTGTCTGTCTAATAGCTGACAGCAGCAGTTCAGCAGCCTTCTGGATAGGCAATTCTGTACTTTCGTGCTACTCAAATTACTACGCTTTACAGAACAAATATTTATTAGAAGATTGCAAGGAAAAAAATAGTATAAACGCAGCACCAGATCCCCAGGAAGCATTTCAACTGAAAACGAGACAGCAAAAATAGAAAAGAGATTTAATTCATCTTTCAAAATTGTTATAATAATTTCAACTTCAATTTATTTTCCCCGTTACAAATAATTCCTTACAAATTAGAAATCAATACACCTCTATTTACTAGCAAGTTCCCTATAAGCAACCACAGCTTCTGTCTTCAGCAAAATAAGCACGGATAGATAACACATACAGAACCCCAACCTTAAGAAAAAAACATAATTGTATTTTGTATTATAGGTATACATTCACTAGCCACAGCATGCTATATGAGAAAGAAAGCCTTAACAACAACTATTCTGCTCCACCAATATTCTTTACTTTTTTACTCCAAACTTAGTTTTCTATTATAGGTACCCATATGCATTAGTATGCACGTGCAGACACACACAATCTTCAACAGTTCAACAACTTTTCCATTGGCTAGCTCCTCAGCAATCTAAACAACTGTAAAATGTACATAATAAGAAAAAAGCCCCCCAAAATCACAATAAACTAAGGGTTTGTTAAACATTAAAGTATTGCCTGCTCTTTCACAGCAACAAAACTTGTTTGACTTTACACGAACAGTTGCTTTTGAACAACAAGCAGAAAGGCTCCAATTAGTTAACACAGATATAAACAACATCATGCAGCTGAAGTGTATTCCATTCCAGCGTGCTCTCTTAAGAGTACATGGTCAGCTGCAGCCACTCTTGAATGTTCATGTTCACTAGGCCGTCTCCATCTTGGTCCAGGGATTTGAAGGAACGGAACATGCCATCCAGTCGCACCAAGCAACTGATGAAGTTATTGAAATCCATGCTCCCATTTTCATCTGAGTATCTGCGAATGATCAGCTGGTAGAGCTGTTCATTCAGCTGGAATCCTGCAGCCTTGAAAGCATCTGGCAACTGAGCTCTCTCAACAGTTCCTGACTGGCTGGTGCTGTGTTCTTTGTACACACATTGCCATTTCTTGATGTTGTTCCACAGGTACTTAAAGTCCTGATAGCCCAGTTTGCCAGTTGTATCACTGTCCATGACCGACACCATGCTCCGGCATGTGTCCAGGGTGAAGCCCTCTGTCTTCAGGTCTTGATGTCGGGCAACCACTTTGTTCAGAATGTTCATCAACTCGGTGGCGCACACTTCCATGTCATCTCCAGCCAGCTGGACAAACAGTCGGCGAAACTGACGTTCCTCCTCGGTCTCACCGGCTTCCACATTCATGAAGTGGCTGCGAGGAGGTGGGGGTGGCTCTGGTGTGTACTGAGCTGCTACCTCACTAATAATGTTGACTAGTCCTCCAACGAGCCCCCCAAGATTTCCTCCTCCTTGTCCGCCTCCTGCTAATAGACCCCCAAGGCCTCTTACAAGGTTCCCTCCACCACTACTACCTCCACCAAGCAAGGCTTGAGCGAGGAACATGGTGAATTCTTTACAGAGAATTAACCAGATGAGAGCTGAAAATCCTGCAGCCTCTGAGAGCTGTAATGGAGCTGCAGCTGGGTGTGAGCAAAATGCAGATTATCTGTCTGAACTATTAGTATTCACCAAGCCCAGACATGTCTGATGCAGACTTTGGTTACCTGAATTCCATCAGCTCCCTGAAGCCATACTCAGTTTTTGAAAAGTTATAAGGTATTTCTCTCTCTCAGTGCTTCCTTTTTAAATTTTATAGATCCGATTCGTTTTAGCTGACGCAAAACCATTTTAGGGTAAAACCGAGAGGCTGAAAACCAGACAGCAAAATGTTCCAAATGTCCTTGGATGATACGTCTCCTTTAACTGTAGCAGTTTCACAGTGAGCAATGCAACACAGCCAAGATTAGACATCTCTTCCCTTCACTTCCCAAAGACATCGGCTCAGTTTGCCACGGCTGTATCCATCCCAGCATTCTCCTTTCCAATGTCTTTAATTTTGTTGGAGTTGAGTGCTGCATTGACAGACCCAGAAATTGAAGTCACTTGTATGTCCAAATAGGTGCAGTGTGGCCTGCAACAATAGCAGATTGCTCAACCAGATATGCCAGAAGGCCTCAACCCTCCACTTATTGTGATGGCCATGGCCTAATGGTCAGGATAGTTTAGTCTCACTTGTTTATTTGTGGACTCTTTGCTAGGACTGAACAACGGTCAAGTCGGATGGGGTTTTGTTTATTATAGTCCCTCTCCAGTCATTTTACTGAGATTTGGATTGCCTTTTGTTGCCTACAAATTTGGGTGAGGTTCAAGTCAGTGACTTAGAGCTGAGAATTGGCATGACCCATTTCCCTTCCTTCCACAAACAGATGAATTCCTGTGTGCAAGTTGAGTGTTTTGAAATTTAAAAAAAGGAAGGAAGAAAAGGACGCTGATGAGATGCTTAAACCAGACTTACGTAAGTATGAGCATTATGCTTGCTCTCCTGAATCAAAGAGCTGTGATTTAAGCATGTAAGCATAGCCGATTTCAGTTGGGACAAGTATATAGAAATCTCAGTGAAAATAAAAATCTCAGCTATTCTAATGCTCTAGGACCCTGCTGCATGCAGCCATACCTTCAGCCATGGGCGGCAAGTTATATGGGCTCATGGTGCCCATGCTCCACCAATATGCAGAGCCAGAGGCCCTGCTCCAGCAATATTTGGAGCTGGGTCTCTCCCCTGGCTCTGCCTGGAGCAGTCCCCGGACTCCACCTGCCGGCCTCCCTGTGCATCCTCCCACCCTGGCCCCAGAGCGTCCCCCTCAGCCCCGTCCCTGCCATGCGCAGCTTTTATTATGGCTCCCTCTCGCCGGCGCGCAGCGTTCCCAGGTGAGTGGGGAGACACCTGGGTGTGACGTGACGTCATGGCGTGGGACTTTAAAACTGCTTGGCGCCACGTTGTGCCGCTCGGCCTAGCTCTGGGTTCGGAGTCCGGGGCCCGAGCGTAGATTCCCAAAGAAGGTAAGGGAGGGGGAAAACTAGGGGGAAGAGGTGGGAGAGGAAGGGGCTTGTGCAGAGGGGAGGGGAAAGAAAGGGGAAGGCACCAAGGGACAGCATGGAGGAGAGACAAATGCCAGGGGGCCAAGTGCAGACAATGAAGAAAAGGGCAGGAGGGGAGGTGTCAGTGGGAGGGGGGAAAGGGTGATGCTGGGAAAGGAGAGGAGAGGGGAAGGGCATTGGGGGCTAGAGGGGGAAGGGGGAGATGCTGGGAGAAGGCTTGAAAGAAGGGGGGGGCATGAGGAAGGTGGAGATGGAGCAAGGCATGTGTGAGGGCACAGGGGCATGAGAATGGGGGCAGAGGGTGCTGAGGGGGTGGGTATCAGGGAAAAAGGGCAAAGGGGGCATTTCC